TATATATATATATATATATATATATATATATATATATATATATATATATATATATATATATATATACGAATTGTTGTGTGTACGCATGTGTGTGTGTATGTGTACAGAGGGCCTTGACCATCGTTGGGGTATGTTGTATGGCGACCGTCGATGGGCTAAGGTGCCCTATGAGCCTCGTCTGTCTCCTGCCCCTCCCCTGGTGTCTCCTCGTTATTTTTCTTTGTCAGGCGGTAGTCGTTTGGGGATTGCGGGCCCTTCTTACCGCAGTCTATACACCCGACCCCGCCGCTATAAGATGGGAAACACATACAGCAAGCACTACCAGCTGCCTACAGTATCTTCTCTTGTTAGAGCCACGATGCCTGAATTCTTAAGAAAAAGGCCCATTAAGATCATGCGCGATGGAAGCTGCAGGTTCCTGCATGCAAACGCCTCGGTACCCCTTCAAATACAGCAGTCTACACAGCAAGAAGATGGGGGGGCCAACGCTATAGCTGAAACTGCAGCAGCAGTAGCAGCAGAAGCTGCAACAGCAGCGGCAACAGCAGCAGCAGAGATAGGCACAGGGCAGATACATACACTTACAACAAACCAAGCACAAAGTAATCTGCGGCCGCTTCACCCAGTGCAGCAGATCCTGCAAGCTCAAAACACCCCATGCATGCATGCAGGGTTCCAGCTAACTGCTGCTTCTCAACAGGAGGGTACTAACGCCCTAGGGGCCCCTGCTCCGGGACTGCCTTATCTCCCCGCCTTCGCAACTACCCCTTCGTACCCTGTATACTCCCCGGGGGGCAACGACCAGGCGGGGGCCCCTCCTCCTTGCTTTTCTCCATACATAGGGGCCACCTTTGCAGTCACGCCGTGGGTTGTGCCCTTTTGCTGGCCGTCAGGGCCCCCTGCAGCAGCAGCAGGGGCCCCTGATGCTTCTTCTCCGCCCCCATCCGCTCACAAAGGCGCCGCTGAGGGGACACCAGGGGTTCGGTCGAACGCACCTGAAGGGGCCCCCTACGGCTGGTGGGGGCCCCCTGGCTGCAGCAACACAGCGGCGGGGTTCGTACCGCCGCCGGTGTCTTGGCATTCGCCTTATGCTGCAGTGCAACAGCAGATGCCTGGGGGCCCCTATGCGGGGCCCCTTCATTCAAGAGGCCTCTCCTCCGCAGAGGCGTCCAACCAGGAAAAGGCAAAGAAGCAGAATGCAACGGGGCTTGAGGGAACCCCCTTGGCTACCCGAGGTACTGGCACCCAGCAGCATTCTGCAGGAGAAGGGCCTCCAGCGGCGACAGCCTCTGCGGCAGACCACGCAGGGGACCCAGCAGCAGCTGGTCGAGCAGCAGGGGCCCCCGATGCAAAAGGGAACAGGGGCCCCCCAGGCACGACAGACCCAGGTGCAAGCCCAGGGGCTAAGGGAGAGGAGGATGGTCATTCGGCAGCTGATGCGAAAGCGTTGTGGTGAGCAGCAGTAAAGCGTACAAGACAAGGTGCAGCGAGACAGAACCTAAAATGTAATTGAATTCATCTTGAAACTACATCAAGAGATAAAGACAAAATAAAATAGAATATGAAAAGCGGGTCACTGCTTACAGGGCAGGGTAGGCGGGAACAGCACTCACCCCCTTTTCAGTCTACGCTTATAGAGCACTTGCATTTACTTGGAGGCAACTACTCAGGCCAAGTTAATGTTCCTGTGCTATCTGTAGGCAGATCACGCTAGACAGAAACCTAGAAAAAAAGCTAGCTGGCTAGTTAGCTGTGAGCTTGTCGGTTATGGCGGTGGACTAAGGCCGCCACCCTTTGCTTTTTTTCACAAACTTTTACTTGGGCTTTCTTCTTTAGAACAAAAATGAAGGGGATACGAGTTGTTGGTTACGAGTTGTTGGTGCCTCTGCAGCGACGCTCTGCCCTCTGATGCCTTTACTGTTTTGCCATTACCCCTGTAAACCCTACCCCCTAGGCTCATAAGATAACTAGAAACCAGTGATTAAACCCTGCAGAGTTGTGAAAGCTAACATAAAGGGAGTGTAGAGTCTATAGTTTGGGGTTTAGTGTTTAGGCAGACATCGCAGCTGCTCCGTGGGCTCTCGCTTCCTAAAGACTCTCATCCAAGAAGTTTGTAATGAGAGTATGGTTTAGGGTTTAGGGTTTAGGGTTTACTTTAGAAACCCCGACGGTTCAAGGACTATAATAATAATAAAAAACATAAAACACAAAAGTGGCAGGCAAAATTTCGCTGCATTCATTGTATCCTCTCCGCTCGTGAGATGCTGAACAGGCACTGGGATGGACTTTGTGAATAAGTTTAGACATCATTGACTGAAATTGTTTAAAGGCGGGAATCATTTCATTTATTTATTGATAGTATTTATAAAAACACCATTTCTGTTATTTATTGTCTCTATATTCTTTGACTCGCCACTCTGTTTCAACAACCCCACCCTCATCACCACCCCGGCATTTGTTGTTCTTCTTGCTTCTTTTCTGTAAATAATCCGCGAAAATACCAATACAACACATTTAAATTCGATTTTTTTGTCATTTGAACCTCAGTATACCTCAGAGTTGTGAGTCGTACACCTTCTCCCGCCCATCAGGGGGAAACATGTATTATGCGTTGATGAGAAGAGAAGCAAACAGAAACCCACTTGAAATACAAGAAAAGAGGAACTTAGATGATGCAGCCGACAGCAGAGTAGGAGACTAAGCGACTTTTCCTCCCCGCTCTGTGCATTTTCCCCTGAGTCGTGCATACACTGTAGAAATAACGCAGTCGGCTGTCGGTGGCGTCTAAAGAGTAACGTAAAATGCCCCAAACATAGTTAAAATGACCCTCGAAACAAACGCCGAAACTCTAGGGGTTCACAGAAACCCCACCGGATGGCACGGAAACACTTCCTACTCGTCTCTGCATCTTGACAGCGCGAAGGGCCCCAGGCAGCAGCCACAACAGCAGCACCACCGACAACCACAGCAAAAACAACAACAACGGCAACAACAGCAGAAGCAGCAGCAACAGCAAGACCAGCAGCAAAAACAGCTGCAGCAACAAGAGAAGCAGCAGCAACAGCAGCAGCAACAGCAACAGCAAAAACACCAACAACAAGAACAAAAACAACAGCAGCAGCGCACAAGGAGCAGCCGGTCGCGGCTTCCAAGGCGCCGCATATTTCTTAGAGGGACGACCAGAAAAGTTTTGGCCCGAAGTACATTTATTCACCGCAGCATTGAGCAGACAAATGGAGAGATAAATCAAACATCTTCCGATGCTGCTGCTGCTGTTGCTGCTGCTGGTTACTCATTTTCTGTTTTTGCAAATGCAAGACCGACTCCTGGGATTCTTGGAGACCTGCAACAGCTCCTGTGCAGCCCATTGCAGCAGCAGCAGCAGCAGCAGCAGCAGCAGTTGCTGCTACAGCAGCACCTGCAGCAGCAGCTGCAGCGCCAGCGGCAACAGAGGCGGGCGAAGCTGCAAGAGAAGCGAAATTCCATGGCGGCGCAAAAGGCTCATGAGACACAACAGCTGCAGGCTTTGGAGCAGCGGTTTGCTGCTGCTGCTGCTGCAAGTGCTTTGCTGCAGGAGCAGGCTCCCACGTTAGGCACAGTAACAGCAGGAGCAGCAGCAGCAACAGCGGCAGCAGCTCTGCTGGAGCGGATCAGGGCCAGTAAACGTGCCAGCAATAGCGACAAAGAAGCCCCGGAACAGCAACTGCTGCAGCAACAGCTTCAACAGCAGCACCCATACAGCTTTCTTAGAGGCACAAGGTACCCTCCTGAGAGACGACGACTCTGGGGGGAAAGCAGCAGCAGCAGCAGCAGCAGCAGCAGAAGCAACAGCAGAAGCAGCGACACCGGCGACCAATTAACAAAAGGAGGTTCCTACACCTCAGGCATGCACGAAGCCGGAAACAACAGCAGCAGCAACAGCAACGGCAACAGCAGCAGCAACAGCAACAGCATCAACAGCAGCAGCAGGTACAGCAACGCCAGCAACGGGGAATTCTCACTGCAGCACTGGACATCGCAGCAAATGCGGTGGTGCCTCAGAAGAGACTCCTCAGGCAGTGAAAGCCGTTCGAGTGTATATACACCGCAGCCCGAGCAAACGCAAGAAATGAAGAAGGTGGAGGAGAGAGTGCAGCCACTGCGCCAACCAGCACCAGCAGCGGAAGCATCAACAGCAGCAACAACAGCAGCAGCAGCAGCAGCAACAGCAGCGGCAGCTACATCCAGTGATGCGGAATCGAAGACCAGCGATGTATTCTGCAGGGCCGGCCACAGCAGCAGCTACAGCACTCCTCGACCTCTCCGCAGCAAAACCAGCAGCAGCAAGCGCAGCAGCAGCAAGAGCAGCAGCAGCAAGCGCAGCAGCAGCAAGCGCAGCAGCAGCAAGAGCAGTAGCAGCAAGAGCAGCAGCAGCAAGAGCAACAGCAGCGGCAGTGCTTCAAGGAAGCCCACCAAAGACTGTGGTGTTCAGGTGTCTTTCGACCTCTTTGAAGGCTATGGGCCTTCATCAGCCGAAATAAACGTCAGTAGTCTCTCTAATACCACCATCAGTGACCCGGATGTCGTTTCTGTTTCTGCTGCTGCCGCAGCTGTTCCTGCTGCTGCAGCTGTTCCTGCTGCAGCAGCTGTCCCTGTTGCTGCAGCTGTTCCTGCTGCTGCAGCTGTTCCTGCTGCTGCAGCTGCTGCTGCTATTGCGGAATCAGTCAGTCCCCCTGAGACCAGTAGCTATGGAGGGGTTTCTTCGCGCTTCCGTCGCCTGGATGTTTCAGTTCCGCTGCCCGTAGGTAAAAGCCCAGCAGCAGCAACAGCAGCAGCAAGAGGGGCAGCTGCCGCAACAGCCCCAGCAGCAGCAACAACATCAACAGCAGCAGCTGCAGCAGACCCGCATGAGGCTTCCGGGCCGCTGTGGCGGTCGCAGGGAATACCCGTGCGGCAGCGGGAAGCTGTTTCAAGTCGAGAGCTGCTGCTGCTGCAGCAAGGTGGAGATGACGAATTAGCTGAGCTGGACGTACACCCCAGGCGGAGAAGCTACAGCCGGCTGTGGCACTCTGTAGGAGATGCAGCACGAGGTGTATGTGCAGTTCCTGTAGCAGGAAGACCAATGGACCGCCTGTCTCAAGGACAAGAACTTTCTGCATCCCGCACTGTACCATCACCTCCCAGCAGCAGCAGCAGCAGCGAGAGCAGCAGAAGCAACAGCAAGAACAACGGAGAGTTATGCATGCAGTCAGGGGCCCCCAAAGGCATGCCTTTGGCTCTTCTCCTCAGGGAAAAATATACCAAGTGGAAACCCCCCAAGAAGAAAAACAAAGCCAAAACACCAAGAGAAGCCGAGCAGCACAAGGAGCAGCAACTGCACCAGCAGCAACTGCAGCAACAGCAACTGCAACAGCAGCAACTGCGGCAACAGCAACTGCAGCAGCAGCAGCTCCTGCAGCCGCTGCCCCTGCTGTTGGGTCGGGCAATGTATCAGCAGGCGTCAACATTCCCTAGCGATGAAGGCGAGCAGCTGAACAGCAGCAGCAAGGAAAATCAGACGGCTCTTAAGCGTTACCCCTTGATGAGGTGTATAGACAGCTCAAGCAGCAGCAGCAGCGGCGCGGTGAATCCCATGGGGTTTAAACACGACCTAGCTTTCAACGGAGGAAACACCCAGCGGCGCAGCAGCAGCAACAACAGCAGCAGCAGCATCAGCAGCAGCAAAAGCTGGAGAAGAAGGCAGAGGACACGAAGGAACTCAAGGCTACGAGGCATCAGAGATAAAGATAGTATCTTCAGCCTTACAGATCTCTCCCTCTCCCTTGACGCTCACACTGCTCTGTGGGCCCCAGAGACAGCCGAAAAAAACAAAGAAAAAAGGAGAAGCCGCCGGGTGTATAGACAGCCAGAAGACAACCCCCACAGCAGCAGCCGCAAAGCAGATAGAAAAAATAAAAATGAAGAATACACTCCAGCAAACAACAGCACAGCAACACTTGCATGCAACAGCCCTCCTCAGACAAACCCCAAAACATCTGCTGCTGCTTACACAGATGCCAGCAACGGGAGTAGACGGGGGGGCTGGGGCGACTGCATCTCCTACACATCCAAGCCCAAAGATGCAGCAGCTGCAGCAGCTGCAGCAACTGCAGCAGCTGCAGCCGCAGTCTATCGAGGAAGTTTGGGGCTGCATGCAGCTGCAGCAGCTGCAGCGGAACCATCAACAACATATCCAGGAGGCTTGCATCTGCATGCAGCAGCACCGGAACCAGGAACAGCCTACAAAGGACTTTTGGGGCTGCATGCAGCTGCAACAGAACCAACAACCTATAGAGAAGGTTTGGGGCTGCACGCAGCTGCAACAGAACCAACAGGAACCTATAAAGCTGGTTTGGGGCTGCATGCAGACGGACAGGCCTTGAGCATCTCTGCGCTGCAGTGCAGCCTCGCCTCCCTCACCGCCAGCGCCTCCGCGTCGGTGCGTGTTAGTACTTATGTTGCTTCTGCTGCTGCTGCTGCTGCTGCCTCTGCTGCTGCTGCTGAAGCTGATGCTGCTGCTGTCCCTGTGCATGCATGCATGCATGCATGGATACAAATGGATGGATGCATGTATGCATATGGATGCGTAGTGCGTGTGTGTATGTTTGCTTGTGTGTTTGGTGTTGCAGGAGCTGCAGGTGTCTTTGTACTACAGCGCCCACTCTGCGGACTTCTCTGTGTGAGGCTCTAATAGCTTGGCTGTCATTTGTTTTTCATTTGTTTTTTCCTTATTTCTGTACGCGATTCCTTCTCCTCTTTCTTGTATAAAGTGCTGCATATATGTTTAAGACATTCTTTGTCTCTCCCTCACGCTAGAGATACACAGCCGCCATGTGCCTATACACCCCGTGCGCCGTCTTGTACTCCTTTCACAAGACGGTACTGTTATCGCATTTGTTACAGCGAAGCCCCAACCAACTGCAGCAGCTACACCCTGCTGCAGCAGCTACACCCTGCTGCAGCAGCTACACCCTGTTGCAGCAGCTACACCCTGCTGCAGCATCTCCATCCAGCTGTATGCAGCTCCCTTTACCCCGCTGCAGCGTGTTTGAATAGGAAGTCCTTAAGCCGCTGAGAGATGTCAGGGGCGTCTCTCGTCTTGGGTTAAGACCTGCTTTTTCTGTTTCTAGTGAGGAGACAGAACATACAACTCTATCACCACAGATACTACCAGCAAGATAAGCAAGTGACCCTGACATAGACAGAGCCACCCTGGTTGTTACACAGCCTCACTATTATTGCATGGTACAGTCTCTGTAAAGCATCAGTATTACTTTTATTATTTATTATATATTTCGGCAGCATTTGTTTACTATTATTTCAAACTACAGTTTCTACTTAAGCACTACTAGTATACAACCGCCTTTGTTACTTAGTATTAGCATTGTTATAGCGTATATGACAG